TACTTTCCAATGTTACTCTCTCGCTCTGAGCGAATTTTTATTTTTTGACAGTTTTACTAGTCCGAGTCCGAGGAATACGGGATTGCACCTATTATGAAATGTGTGCGCTTGTCAAGGACAAGAAGGCAAAAACATGCCCTTTTACAGGATTGGGTGTAACATACAAAATACATTTTACACCGGGGTAGTGCAATATTTTTTGAAAGAAAGGAAATCACCATAAGTTGACCTTCAAAAATTGTATATTTTTATTAAGCTTCTATTGAATGTGCACCTTAACCTACACCTAAATATAGCCAATTAGTCATTAAGAAATTGTTTGCGAACCAATCAGATATTACTTTAAAGAGAAAATGGCCTAACTCGAGATAAGTTGTTTTATCAGAATGCCACATATATTTATGTATGTATACGCACCGCAAAAGGCATGCCGAAAATATGAGAGCTTTTTCAACAAAACCAATAACAAAAATTTTTTACTTGAACCATGTAGTTGCAGGTGTTCTAAAGTTTTCTTTTTTTTTTGAGTCCATGACTGTATTTACCCTACAAACTACTATACAATTTAGACCAATTCCTCTCGCAATAATTTTCGCTAAAATCGTGATCTAATCGTTAGCGATTACCTTGAGTATTTTATGCTGAGATTTAAAATTTTAATCAAGATCGAATAAAAATGATCACAATGAAATAATGTGTACTATGCATGTACATATGTATGTATGTATGTATGTATGATTGGCACACATTAAACTCCATTGACGTTCAATATAAAAAAAAAAACAAAACGAAATGTTAATGAAAAGCACAAAGCATTACAGGTTTTGTCTTTCTTATTTTAAAATTGAAAGTACGTAGCTTTTATGAATGTGTATGCACACATATCTATGTACATATGTACGTATGTACATTTGTTCATACATTTGTATGTATGTTACGTTTAAACCAGAAAACCGTACATTTGACACGGTCTTAAATAATACATATAAAGGGGCCAAGTTGTTTGTGCAAATTCAAACTATACATAAGCAGTACATTAGACCGTGCCACCTTACAAACAACCAGAAAACAGCCATGCATGGTAAAGTGTTTTTGCAAGACAATTTCGAAAAAAAAAAACAAAATTTGGCCGAACCTAGGGACTGCCGTTTTACATTTTTCGGTGACACCTACTTTCGGCAAAAAACATTTTTTTTTTTAATAGTTCTCCTGGAATAATCGAAATACTTCCTTAGCAAAAGTTTAATAATTTTTTGTGGGCTTTAATTTGCTAACATTGGGGTGGCACGTTTGGGCAATAAGAATTTTGATTTGGTGGGTACTCGAATGCGGTAATTGAGGTCAAGAACCTTAGGAACAAAAAACACAGCAAAACATGTATACATATATCATAATTTAAGGTCGGACTTAAATTTCAAAGATATGAGGAGAAATATAAAAAGGCAGTCGCCTTAGTTCGACAAAAGAAAGAAATTCTCCCCAAAAATACTTTATATTTTAAGGAGTACGGCGAACCTTTTTTTTTTTTGCTTGTAAAGTGGGTGGTACGGTCTAATATACATCATATGTAGTATATATGGGGTATTCCACCGTCACGAGTGGGATATTTCTACAGTAAAAAAAGAACCTGTTTCTGGAGCAGATATAATTTACGGAAACTCTGCGTATTTATTTCACTTTTCTGTGTGAACTTGATGTCATGAATAAAAAAAAGAACAACGAATACTAACAAAGCAAAAACTGCAACAAAACTTATTGCTTTAAAGCGACTTATGCATTTCCCGCAGCACTAACAAAGAACAGCGAACACCCACACGCACTGTGTTTAAAAGTAATTCGCTCGTTCTTAATTGGGTGTGCATTTTTTTATGCAATTCTCAAATATCTCTTCGCTGAACTTAGTGAAGTGATAAGTCGCTGGCATTTTCAGCTATGGCATCGCTCCCACTCCACTCCCGGAGTAATTTTTGATATGGTAGTGAGCTATGGCTTACAAGCCATACTGGGGCTCTGCATGAATGCATCCCTGAATAAATCCCAGCTCATAGCACAGCAGCCTACGGCAGCTAGAGCATGATTCCTCCAATGGAGTCCCCCAATTGATACATGGTAAAAGGGTCACATCTTGCGTTACCGCTTCATCAGCCTGCCCGCATATTTCACTCTCTCTCTCTCTCTCTCTCGCATAGCAGGCCTACGGAGTGCGTGGTTGCCTTGATGTGCACCAGGGATGAAAAAGTAGGTACAATTGTACCTTTTTCCGACGTTTGATGACTTAAAGGTACATTAGGTACAGACACTAGATTTTAGGTACAATCGTCTTTTGATCAGATGCATTTTTAGTTTTTTTTTTTTCTTTTTCCTTTACCGTGCTAGTAGTATGTTTACTTTGCTTTCATTTTGAAGAATAAACAATTCTAAAGAAAAGTGGTCAAAAGGAAGAAATTAAAAATTAAAAAAGTCATATTATGTATTATCTTAAACATTTTACATTGCATTTAGAGCAGCCACTACGAAAAATTAACACTTTGCTTAGCTATCCCCAAATTCGTATTTTTTTCTATTAATTTTAACGGTTATTTTCACTAAGTCAAACTCAATGGCATTTGCGGTCAAATGAGTGAAA